TGTTTTTACTGGTAGTTTTTGGTGCTGCAATTTTAGATCCAACGAAAAATCGAAACTTTTGTTATTGTAGCAGGTCTTAATTGCCAAGCTAAGCTGTTTTTTCGAGTGATACTGTTATGTTTAATGTTTTTTAGCTAACGACTGTTGATGGGTAGTCTAGATGACTAATTGTTTAGGCTTTTATTAAAAAATATTCGAGTCTAAATTGGTATAGGTTTTTAATTGATTGCAGTGCTTTTATTCCACGAGCCATTATTCTCAATATTTTGTTTATTCCGTTCTATTATGTCCTAGATACCGTACTTGCGATTTTTCTACAATGACATTATCATCTAGTTGCGTTGGTACTGAATTTATTTTGGTCACTTCTGCTTCGCTTCTTGCTAAAAATAATCAGCTCAAATTTGTCAGTGTTTAATTTTAAGTAAAATCTGGTAAAATAAAGAGAAAGTTTTGGGCATAATTCCTGAAACCCTGGAAAGCAATTTCAAAGTCATGATAGCAGAAAACCTAATTATCATTCGCATATTGAACTCATTTGCAATTTTTTGGGTGATTCTTTGCTTAAATCATTTATGTATATGTTCAAAACTAAAGTTTCTCAGACTGTTCCTTGAGGCACACCGTGATTGAAAACTTTTTTATTGCCTGTTGCTGATAAATTGACTCAATAGCCGATTCTGAGAAACCCAGACTACTTAATTTTAGTTTAAGAAACTTATGATCTTTTGAGTCAGTAGCTTTTGAAAGATCTATTAAGGCGCCGTATTTGCTTATGTCCATACAATTTCAGAAGAATTCACTACAATAAAGTATTGCATCCATAATAAAATATGATGATTTAAACACGCAATGTGTATTGCTCAGTATGTAATAGCTTAACAGATATTCATTTATTTTTTTATGGAACAGTTTTTCAAATACTTTTGACAATGCGCCTGTTATTGATTTTGGTCGGTATTTTTACTATGTTATAACAGATTTTTTCCCAAGATGACAAAAAAGCTTCTATATTTGACATACACTGTTTAAGATTTGACAAAAAATGCCAAGATTGTTGGCGTGAGTAAGATCATAACGATTATTGAGATTCAGGGTCGAAGTTTCGATCGGAAGCCGCGTAAAATCTGGCCACTTGATCACAGCTCAAACATACGAGAAAAGTTGTATCTATAAAAAAGAGGGGTGTGATTAAAACAATGAAAATGTGTTATATAAAACAATCGTTTCAACCATCCTCTATTCCTGCGGATTACTAGTAACTAATTTTCACCTCTATTCTTATTCTACTCATTTAACAAATAAACTGCCCACGCGAATTTTGCTCCTCCCTTTTCGTAGTGGTTGGGGATAGTTGAACAGGTCCAAAAAATGTGCTGCCCTCACCATTTACACAAGCCACTCGACAACCTGCTGCCTTTACAGGTTAAAGTGATGTTCCACTGAAAAACGGCACCTTTCGTCCTTGCAATCTGCTCTGAACACTCTTGTCCATTTCCCAAATCTATCAAGAGCACAGAAAAGAGAAAGAGTGAAGAAATAAGTTCGACTATTACCATCTTCCCAGTGCCTCAAAATCAGCTCAAGGGTTACAAAAAAGTTCCGTTTCAAAATTAGTTCAGGCAGCAAAAATTGTCCTGAGCAGCTGAATCAAGAATCAGGTCAAGGAAAATGTATTCATTACAACTATATTATACGAAGGTGAAGTATTTGTAATGAAAAAGGGGTAAATTGAGGAAAGATTTAAAAAATTTAATATTTGGTTGAAATTTTTGTTCCCTCGATTGATAAACCAATGTGAAATAATACTTTCTATCAAAAGTTTAATTTGACAGAGCTAAGCAAAAAATACGTGTTTCAATAATTCAGTTTGATATCATCCCTGTGGTCATGTGTTCTGAGCATCTGATCTCCATTTTATAGGCGAGTCGCAGGTGTATTAACATCCGTCATATTTTGGAAAAAAGTATAAAGTAGACCAAAATTGATTCAGAATCGCTGTTGATTTTTAATGACAATATATCACAATACACCAACGCTGAAGGTTTTCTAAGGGATCCCTAAGCATATGCATATATAAATCCGTCCGCTTTACCTCCCCTGTCCCTCTGTTAGTTACAAAAAGTCACAAAACAGGTTAAAAATCACAAAAAACGTTACAGAATATCACAATAAAAAGCAAAAAATGATTTTTCATTTTCATTGTTTTTTGACGCACATCTTATGGAATCATCAAAAAAAATTGAATTCGCGACAGAATCTTAAAAAATGTTTTTATTAGCTTAAGTATTTAAAAATTAAATATAGTATTTAAATTATTAGCTATAGTATTTAAAAATTTAGTGCTGAAAACGCATGAGTAGCTAAAAATTATAAGGCAGAAATAATTTCATAACATTTAACACTCTTATTATTTTAGTGTCAAAGTTTCAAAAAAGAACAAAAAACCATATCTTCCATATATGAAGAAAGCTCAGCAATAAAATATTGAGAAAAAAGCTGAACAATTTCAGCTTAAGCTGAAAATTAAGCTTAAGCTTTGCTGCTGTTTAGGTTTAGATAACACAAATCTTGACATGTTCGCATGTTTCTTGTATTCTACGATAATCGTGGCAAGAAAAATTTCAATTTTGCGCCCATAGAATCCTTTGCAAGTGAAATACGACAAAAATTGAACACTGAGCTATTCAACAACAGAAATACTAAAAAAATATATATATTTTTTACTGATCAAGCAATGTATCATACAATCAATAAAAAAATTTATCAAAAAAATCATTTTGAAATGTTGATATCTGGCTACAAAATGATCTGCTATTTTATAAAACAGCCTTCTTAAATGTTTCCAAATAAAGGGTCACATTATAATGATACTGAGGAGCATTTGACAATTGAAAAAATAGAGACTAAACCGCTTGTATTACAACGAGGCCTGGAGTTTTCTTGGTGTCTTTTAAGATGTCTGTTTTTTTTTTCATTGAAGAGATAATAGCAAAACTATTCCAGATGAGATACCATTTCAAATTTAAACTTAACGCATTAATAGTTTTCGGATAGTATAAGAAATTCAGCCATAACCAAGAAAAATTAACAGTCGAAATTGAGAGAATGAAAAAGTCACAAAGGGGTAAGCATTCAGTCACTTTTTTCGGTTGTCCCAACAAAACGTTTCAAGTCATTTTTTGCTCATTTAGTTTTTAATACCTATTTTTTGTACAATCTTTTGACTCATTTTCTTATTGAAAAATTCCCCACCCCCTTTAGCTATGATATTATTTAGATAAGGAGGTGAAATCTCTCTCCAGGATTTTATCCCCTGACAATTTGACGCCACCCTGACGCCACCCGACCTTAAAGCTTTGCTTAAGTACCTTGGGTCGATATATACTAATTTCAGGGAGAACGTGCGCCGAAGAAACGAAAGAATTGGTTCAAAACCTTTCAACAAGAGCCGGCAAAGGGCACTTTTGGTATGTTTAAAGTCCACAAAATTATAGCATGAGAGGACCTTCATCGTGTTTCGCGAAAGTTTCTTACAATACTTTTAAATGAATTTTGCACCCCTTTAAAACATCCTAGATCTGCGCGTGTCTTTAGCTTATGAGCTTGATGCGTTTTTCAAAATATCAAGATCAAATTGCTACAAACAAAATTGATAGTAATCAAACTATAAGACCTATTCAGCGAAGAGGGGAAACTAAGCAAATTGAATCATAGCCAACAGGCAGTTGGAAACAATTAACACCAGTAGCGGATTAAGGGGGGGGGCGGGGGGTGGCGGACGCTTCTTCTCCTCAGAGATTCGACCCCCTACCGACACAAAGGGTCCCCCTTTGAACTAGTTTGATATATCCATTTTTGGCTGATGGACCCCTAAATTTTTCTAAAGGCGCCTTTGGCGCCAATAAATAGTAATTTTGAGGGGGGAGCGCGTGCCAAAAAAACGCGATTTTTTGGTAAAATTTTTTTAAAAAGTGCCAAAAAACGCCTTTTTTTTGGCCTTTTTTCAAAATTTTGCGTGCGGCGCACAAAGTTTTACCTTAGCAAAGTCTTTTTTACTGCTTTGGGAGAGGAGCTCAGAAAATCAATTTGGTCGACCTAAAAAAAAAGTCGACAAAATTTTTCGAAAATCCGCCCCCTCGAGAAAATCCTAGATCCGCCCCTGATTAACAACAATCGAAAAACTGGATCAAACCGCAAATTTATCATAGTCGAACACAAAAATGAAAAATGAGCATGCACATTTTTTTCGCAGAAACGAAGCTTGCGATACAAGACATAAAATGAGGCAAAATCCGCTAAATTGGAAGATAATTTTTCATCTTCCCTGGAAACATTGTTCAAAAGCTTGTTGCTCTTCAAACAACGCACTATGCTGCCATCAAGCCGCTAGATTAAAAACTGAAGCCTCAAAATAGTAAAAAGAAAAGAGTAGAAAAACTGAAATAATACTGAAATTTGAGTTGGCAAATTTTCAACAAAATCGAAATTGGAATAGAACGAGCTTTTGAAAAAAAGCCAAGCAATTGACGATAAACCGAGCTACTTGTGGCAAAAAACTCGACATATTGGCGATACCTAGGCTTAACGCAAGGGCAAGTCATTTTCCTGTACAAAAAAATAAATAATCATTATTTTAAGAAAGTTTTCAGTACGAGCATTGAAACTGAAAAGCATTTGATGCCAAAGTACATTTTGATGTCCCCTTTTGGAACTATTTAACGTATTGTTTTTCGCTGATCAACCCTAGAATATTTTTAAAGGTGCATTTGGTGACAATATATACTAATTGCTCCAAACATTGCACATTGGGAAGAACTTGTCATCGGGTGTTTTTTGGTTTTTGGCGCAAAATCAGGTACCACAAAATATAATGGGAATGCTTCGAGTGGTATGTTAGATTATCATACTTTCAGCCGTGATTCAAACCACATCAAATAGTTTTCTAAAACTTGTCCCACTATCGGGGAAAATCGGTGAAAAAACTTTCAGTTAAGTCCAGTTTTGAGCAAACCAAGTAATCGGGTAATGTTCATTAAATAAAAATGGGTCATCTAGCCAGCGAAATTTTAATTTCAGTAAAAAAATACTAGTTTGAGCGCTTCCTAGTTTGGCAAGAAAAAATACTAGTTTGGCGAGAGAGTTTTCAAAATATTTTTTGATTGTTTATCGTTTTCTGAAGAGAACTGTTGTCGTTAATCTAGATTTCACTAACTTTTTACGCATTTGCATAGTTCTATCATCACACTGCTCAAAAAATGACAATATTTTGAAGAAACCAAATCTTTGTTGTGTAGTTTTTTAAGAATGTGGTCGAAATTTTCTGTGCTACTTACACTGCAACCGGCTATTCTTGCTTTGATATGCAAATGTTTGGTCAAAACTTTCCAAAAAGTGTCTAAAAATGGCACTTCTAACCTGTTTTTTTTTCAGATACTTGCCAGTGGCGCAGAAAAATTAGTCAAAATAGGGTCATTACAAATGTTTGAAAACTAGGGTCATTACAAATGTTTGAAAAGGGTTCGGAAAAATAGTTTGGGTGACTAAAAAAGTCAACAAAAACTCGAAAGTTTTTTTTCCAAAACTTGCTACCCTCGAGAAACTCCTAGCCATGCTATGTTTTGGTCAAAACCTAGCAAATAGTGCTTAAAAACCGCATTTTTGCTGAAAACAATAGTTGCCTGCGGCTTAGCATTTTTGCCAAAATGATCAATCTGGGGTTTTGGCTGGCCCCTTTGTCGAAGAACAACTGCGCACTCCACTGATTCTGCTGCTTTCAGAGAATTCAAAAAATTAAAACTTATGAAAATTATTCAGCCTTGACACATCGTAGTTACGCCAAATTTATGATCAAGCCGGGGTTTAAAAAATTATGATCAATCCGGGGCTTAGAAAATTATGATCAATCCGGGGCTTAGAAAAAACTCAAAATGGCTGAACTACAAAAGTCGACGAAATTTTTAAGCCTGTACGCTCGTCAAAAAACTCCTGCGCAAGCCATTCAACCTGCTGTTTACAGAATTATCAAAAACTAAAATTTGTAAAAATTTATTTAGCCTTGATACTTCATTGTTACGCCAAACATACACTAGCACGTTTTTTTTCTACATCAGTCACATATCATCGAACAATTCAATCAAAGTGGAAGCTCAACAAAAGAAAAATTGGGAAGTACATTTCTAAGGCCAGATATTAAACTGCAGATGACACTGTGTAGGGGGTCTGATATGAAATTATTTTAACATCTGATGACTTCAGGGATGGAACAAACTACTCACACAAACCGCGAATTGAATCAGCATTGCTCCTTTATTTGCAATATTTAATTGTCTATGAGATCGCTGTCGTGTCTGATATTAGAGTATCTGTGCCTGATATTATCCACCAACCAGATGTACTTCGACTCGGCCTCCTCCTTCGTCAACCCCTTCAATTGCTCCCATGCGTCCCACTTGGCCTTCCCTAATAGCACAAGTTAGAAGATACTACACCGCCCATGGGGCATTTAATCCTATTCCATTTAACCCGATACCATTTTACCCTACGCTATTTAACCGTATATTTAAAGCAGTTAAAACTTACCCTATCTCTTTGAAACATCCGAAATTGTCATGTCACCCGCCCGCGTTGCAGAAAAAACTAACAAACAACTTAAATTTGAGTTTTTAACAATCATGGCAAGCTTTCTCCGCATAAAATCGTCCTTTGTTTACGCAGTTTGCCGAGAATAAAAGTCACTGACGTTAATAAGGTCACTGAAAAAGTGCAATACGCACGTCAGTTGCTATGCAGCGCGGTTGTGTCAA